GAAACACGACAAGACACCTCTTTCCCAGGCTGCTGTTGAGCTCCAATGGAACATCTCAGCACACTCGGGCAGGGCCATGTCTGCATCTCAGCCTGCCTCGGCTGCAAAACAGCTCCTCTGCTGCAAGCAGCCTCGCACAGGCTGACCCAGAACGTTCCCCCTTTGGCCTACAGATGATGTGAACCCATGTACCACGGTGGGCAGCTGCTCCAACCCACCCACCTTTGGGTCCAGTTGCAGCCCCTCCTGCAGAGGACAGGTCTGGATGGGAGAGCCAGGCAGCAGCTGCTCCATGATAGCTCCCAAAGGGGCCTTCACCACCCAAAAATTGCTGTCAGTGAAGAGGGACCATGACTCTGTCTTGCTTATATGTGTCCGGGCAGCACCTTTGGAAAGGTCAGTGCCTTTCCAGCCCACTGTCATGGAATAATATCACAGAATCCCACATTGGCTTGGGTTGAAGGGACCTTAAAGCTCACCCAGCTCCAACCCCTGCCACGGGCAGGGACCCCTTCCACTGGAGCAGCTTGCTCCAAGCCCCTGTGTCCAAGCTGGCCTTGAACACTGCCAGGGATGGGGCAGCCACAGCTTCTCTGGGCACCCTGTGCCAGCGCCTCAGCACCCTCACAGGGAAGAGCTTCTTCCAGTCCTACAAACATTTCACCTCCTGCCCTAGAGCAGCCACAGAGCACAGCCACAGGCTCCATTGTCAGATCTGAAATTCTGGACCCCAGAGCTGCTATTCTGGTAAAACAAAATCTCCCTGACATTATCGCTCTCACCCCTGTCCGTGGGGCTGCTGGGTCCCCTCCCCATGCCTGGGCCATGGTTTGGCTTCCCCGCTCCAGAGGTTTGGACAGTTAAAAATAACCCAACAGAAAGGCAAACCGTTTGATTTGCTCTTTGGGTGCTTTGTGGTGCTGACCCACAGCACAGACCAGCAGCACACCTTGCTGTGACAGTTCAGATGGTCTGAATAACTGCTTCCCCAACCTTTCCATCCTACCTCACCCCCCACAGCCTTTTCCATGCCTGGGGAGGCAGTACTGGGGCTTGGACCCTTTTCTGTTCCTGCAGGGAAGCAGAGATGCTCCCATGCTTCCAACTGACCCAGCAATCTCCAAAGCTCAGCAGGCCGGGGGAGATGACCAGCCTTAGGATGCAGAAAGATCCAACCCAAAGCCCATCTCCTTCGGAAATGCCACCCTTTGCTTTCCTTTGGTTTTTCCTGGGAGCAGAAGACAGCCCAGCCCTGTGGGCAGGGATCTGCCACTCGCCCAGCATGCTCACGGGACTGTGCACCACCAGGGAGAACAGGGTGGCATTGCTACTGTCACCATGAAGCAAGACTCAAGAACCAGAGCACACAGCCTTAAAGTGATCCTGTTGGGAACCCCCGAGAGGCTGGAATTGGTGCCCTGCTATTTGAAAGAATGAAGGAGAAAGAAAAGAGCACAAACGAGATGAGTAACAAAGGCAGGAGCTGGCAGGAGTGAGGAGAGGCCTAAGCCAGCAGTCAGGGAACTGTTGGCTTGGAGGCATCCCACATATCACCTGGGTGCCCAGAATGGGGATGGTGGTAGGGAGCTGGCAGAGCTCCACATGCTATTAAACACAGACTGTGGCCGTCAGCTGCAGGAATTCCTAGCATCTTGTTTCTATCAAGCACAGACCACATCCCAAAACCCCCATCCCTGATGCTCTGATGTCCAACCCAGGCTCATGAGGGACACGGCGGCGCTGAGCTCCTGGCACCGATGGAGCCCATCTGCTCCTTTGCAGCACCTCTGGTTCCACCAGCATGACCCGGTGGGAGCAGCAAACCAAGGACGGGTGGCTCCGGCACTCTGGGGACTTGCAGGTTGGTGGTTTCCCATGTGCAACCCCACTGAGAGCAACAGGTCACCCAGGAAAGGGTTACTACAAAGCTGTTTCCCAGGTTGCTAAAGCAGTGGGAAGGTGTCAGCCCGAAAGGCTCCGCTGCAGTGAGAGCCCAGGCAATGACATCTGTCATCTGGCAATGTGTGCGGGTGGAATTCGGCAAAACTGGTCTCTCCTGCTCCATGGACGTTCCAGCTCCCCACAAGGGCGGAATGAACTGAACTCCCTCACCAAGTACAGCAGCCAAGGGGTTAATCCATGGGCCCCGGGGTTAGGAGAGCAGCAGCAGTGGCTTCAGCCTCTGTGAACCTCACCTTGGTGAGGAAACATTGCCCTGTCCCTGGTATCCTCAGGGATGGCATGTGGCTGCGGATGGCAAACAGCACTGGAGAGGCCACAAGCTGTCCCCAGGTCCAAGAACACACGGGGTTCATCTCCCTCCTAAGCAACTGCAGCAGGATGGGGTGGGAGCTGGGTTTAGGAAGGAAAAGCAAGGCAGGGGAGGGAGACCTTAAACCCTCCCTGCACAGCCCCGGGTTTGCTGCACTGCCCAGGCTCTGTGGGATATGCCACCTCCTGAATCCTGGTGCACTGAGGATACCCCCAAGCTGCAGTCCTGACAAAGACACTGGGGGGTGACAGCCACAGGGACATGGACTGAGGGCACCAGTGGCAGTGGGGCTCACTGACATGGCAGTGGGGCTCACCCCACCTCCTGCACACCTGACCCCAGGTATGGAGTTGGAGTTGTGGCTGCCCCATCCCTGGCAGTGCTCAAGGCCAGGTTGGACACAGGGGCTTGGAGCAAGCTGCTCCAGTGGAAGGGGTCCCTGCCCATGGCAGGGGTTGGAGCTGGGTGAGCTTTGAGGTCCCTTCAACCCAAACCAAGCTGGGATTCTATGATTCTATGACCTCAACCCCACCAGACCCCGTGACCCACAGCACTCTGTGGTGCCTCACCAGTTCCATGAGCTGGTGATGGGGGACCAGATCCCAACACATCATCACTGACTGTTTCCCAGGCTCTCCCAGCAGTGCTCCCCCCGTGAGGACACGTGTGCCAATGGGATAGCATCGGGGTGTGAGAGGAAAGCAGGGACAAAGGCACTGCTCCTCCTCCTCCTCCCTGCTCCTGGCAAGGCTGGGGCACTCCGGCTGGGAAGGGAAAAGGTTCCCAGGGCGAAGGTGTTAAATACCCTTCTCCCGTGCTGCTGTCACCTCGCAGTCCCCGGGGTGTGAGAATCAGACTCTATTATCCCCTCATTAGGAACTAACATACTGTACTAACCTTTTCACATGAAAGCTACGGTCTGTTCACCAACAAAAGCTGACGCTTGGTTCCCAGGAGTGGGAAAACCCAACCCCACAAGCACTTAGCAGGGGCTCTGGGGCCCGAGGGGGAGGATGGGGCTCCGTGAGTGTGGGGCCAGCCAGGCACACAGCCCGGTGGAGTGGAGCAGGGAAGCCCTTTACCAGAGCCATTGGATGGCTGCATCCCCTTTGCCTGGGAGGGATGATGGGCTGTGGGGAGGGCTGCAAGGGGGACTCCCTCCCCTGGGCTTTATGCTGCAGGGGAACCCTTTCTTATCAGACCCAGGGGTCCCTGGGGCTGGCAGAGGCCCTCCAGGCACTGGAGCCACTGCAGCTCCTGCCAGGCTTCCCCTATTCTGTTTGCAGGGCTCAGGCAGGCTCTTCCCACAACACTGACCAAAGCAGGTTGGGATGTGCGTCAGCTGAAGCTCCCACTCCCCTTCAGGCTGCTTTGAAATGTGTGAAGCGAGGCTGGGAAAGCATCACTGGGCTATAGAAACCCCTCCCTGCACAGCACCCGAGGCCTCAGGTCAGCATCTGGAGGGGCCAGGTTTTAGAGCACTGAGAACAGCAGGCAACGGCCTCCCTGGGAAACATGGCAGCAGCAGGGATGGGATGTGTTACACCATGGACCATGTCCCCTGACCCACACGTAGTCAGTCACTGCCCAAGCAGATGAACAACTGGGGTAACGTCCTCCTTGCTCAGGCTCTTAATTAAATGTTACCTGAGAAGGCAGGCAGAAGGATGTGGAACTGCTGGAGAGAGTCCAGAGGAGGCCATGGAGATGCTGCGAGGGCTGGAGCAGCTCTGCTCTGGAGCCAGGCTGAGAGAGCTGGGCTGGGGCAGCCAGGAGAAGAGAAGGCTCCTGAAGGGGAGACCTTAGAGCAGCTCCAGTGCCTAAAGGGGCTGCAGGAAAGCTGGAGAGGGGCTTGGGACAAGGGCCTGTAGGGACAGGCCAAGGGGAATGGCTTGAACCTGCCCGAGGGGAGACTGAGCTGAGCTCTTAGGCAGAAGCTCTTCCCTGTGAGGGTGCTGAGGCGCTGGCACAGGGTGCCCAGAGAAGCTGTGGCTGCCCCATCCCTGGCAGTGCTCAAGGCCAGGTTGGACACAGGGGCTTGGAGCAAGCTGCTCCAGTGGAAGGGGTCCCTGCCCGTGGCAGGGGTTGGAGCTGGGTGAGCTTTAAGGTGCCTTCCAACCAAAACCAGTCTGGGATTCTGTGATTCAATGGCAATTTGAGTTTCTACCCACAGCAGCTGCTTGATGCTGAGATAAAGAAGAGGCTACAGGGATACCCTGAAACGAAAAGAGTTTTCCTGGGGTATTTTTTCACTTTAAAAATATCTGCTCTGCCCCATTTTTGGCTGGAGACCTTTGACAGCTTCAGGAAGTGGGCTTGAGAGGAGCCCAGGGCCACAGTGGGTGCTGAGTGCCTGTGGAGTCCCACACTGTTGCACCCTCTTGTCTCCCCACCCCACTGTGAGACCTCACAAACTCCACATTCACTTGTGGCCTTGCATCCTAGCTTCTAGCTCCATGCTTCTAACAGGGAAAGCAGGAATAAGGAGGGATGTGTGACCATTCCCCCCTTCTCTTGCTTCCTTCCCTGCCTGCCTCCACCTGCAGTCAGCTCTGAAGGTGGCTCCCCCCTCACCTCACAACCTGCCTGTCCCTAAGGGCTGGGGGATGTTTCCAGGCCCCATATGCATCTCCTGGCCCATTCCCAGTGCCCTGGCATGGGGCAGGGATGGGGTGACCCCCAGCTCCCCCAGCTCCACCAGTGGGTCCCATTGCGAAGAGGAGTTGGCTTTTGCGTTACACACACGTGTTTATTAGATCCTGCAGGAGCTCACTCAGCTCTTTCACACAGGACGCGGGTGATGGCTCCCAGAGCTGTTTCTCTGCCAGGGGATGCTGTGACGGTGTCCTCGGCGCTGGGCTCTGCTTTGCAAGGTAATTGAATTACAAGCAATGAGCGTTTCGGCGCTGCCAGCCGCTCCTCTCCAGGGCAGGGCTGTGAGCAGTGGCCCGGGGTGGCCCCAAGCACACGCGGCTGCTCCCCTGGGCAGCTCCTCTGCAAAGGTCACTTTTCGTCCCCGTTGCCGCAGTCAGATGTGGGTCATCAGGTTCGGTCTAAACGTGTCAGAGGACTGGAATTCAGGGGGAAGCAGAACATGATAAACGCAGGCCGTGTCCTGGTGCCTTGGGCTGGGTTCATTAAACCCTCTTGTTTCACTCAGTGTCCAGCAGATCGGATGGGAAACCTGGCAGCAGGTTCAGTTCATCATCCAACACAGGTACCTTGGGGCTGGCGGCAGCAAGGGGGAAGCACTGACCGTGGCAGCACCTCTGCACACATTCCTGCCCCAGAGGGTGCTCAGGCATTGGAACAGGCTGCCCAGGGCAGGGCTGCAGGCACCGTCCCTGCAAGTGTTCACACAGCGTGGAGATGAGGCCTCAGTGCCATGGGTTAGTGGTGGCCTTGGCAGTGCTGGGGTAAGGGATGGACTGGATGAGCTTAAAGGGCTTTTCCAACCTGGCTGATTCTCTGATTCTATATCTCATTCTGTATCTCATTCTGACTCATCATGGAGATGAGTACAAGGGTATTACTGCTTGTCCATGGTTTCATCAAGCCCCCAGCTGAGCCAAGTAAATGGGCATTAAGGTTTGTCCAAAGTGAAAAGCGATCCTTACCCAGCAGCCGGGGCGGATGAGGCAGGAGCAGGGAGAGCTGATGCAGATGAGAGGCTTAGAGCTGAGCCGAGACCCCTGTCCCCCTGCCCATCGTCCTTGGGCTTCCCAGTGCCGACTGAGTCCTACAGGTCCTGCAGAGGCTGGTGCTCTCCAGGGAAGAGCAGGCACAGCACTGCCAAACTTGCTGTAGCTGTGACAGAGGAGCATCCACGAGGGCTTGTCCATTGCCTTCAGTCCATCCCAACCTCCTGGTGCTACCCCGCAGCTCCTCACGTTCACACTCATGTCCAGTGTGGGAGATGTGCCGTGTCCTCTGACAGAGCGCACTTGTCCCCAGGGCCGGCAGCAGCCCTGGACCTGCCAGGAGAGCAGCCAGGAGACACAAATGGAGAGGTGGGTTTAGAGGATGGCTCCAGAGACACTGGCACAGGTGCCTGCCCCATCCCTGGCAGTGTTCAAGGCCAGGTTGGACACAGGGGCTTGGAGCAAGCTGCTCCAGTGGAAGGGGTCCCTGCCCGTGGCAGGGGTTGGAGCTGGAGGAGCTTTAAGGTCCTTCCCAACACAAACCATTCCATGAGTCTATAATTTTCTGCTTCCCCTGCCTGAGGTCATGTCAAATTGGTTCGGAACCAACAAAGACACTCTGAGGCAGTGAAAATTAACTTAAACCACAACATTTTAAGCTGAAACAAGTGATTCTCTGAGCCCATTTTTTGTTTCCATCCATGCAGTGAGGAGCGCATTGCAGTCCAGGTCATGTAAATGCCAAGCAGGGAACCTCATCAGCATCCTTATCCAGCACTCTGAAGACCTGCTGGTCCCTACCTGCCCTGTCAGGGGGGTCAGCATCCTTTGCTCATGGCTGTAGCTGGTTGGGACCCCGCCACGAGGTCCTGCAGACTGGGTGAGCTCTGGGATGCACAGGGCCAGGGCTGGAGGGTGAAACTCCCCGAGCTCTGCTGAGCAGCAGGCAGGCTTGGTGTGACCCTGGGAGAGCTGGTGGGAGCAGTCAGGTGGGAGCTTCTCCTGCTCAGCCCCATTTATGGGTACCTGCAAGGTTGAGGCTCCTCGAGAAAACAGCCCCTTGCATAGAAGTTGGTACATAGAAAAGAAAAATGAGTCTTCCTGTACCTGGTTAGGGTCTCTGTGGGGAAGCTCTTGCCATTTGGTCTTGGAGGCTCAACCCCACAGTCTGAGGCAAGCCAAAGTCCAAACCTCCAAGTCCGAGCCTTCCTGGGGCAGGATTGGGTGCCCTCTGCTCCCACTGCTCTCCATGGGCCACTGGGGACAAACCACACCAGTGCAGGAGGATACAGGGCCCTCTGAAGAAGAGCATCCTCAGCAGCCCAGCAGGCACCTGCTCAGCTCATGGTGACTCTGACCTCCCTCCTGCTGCTCCAGCTTTAGTCTCAGGCCAGGGAGAGGCTAAAGAGAGATTACTATCCCCCCATGATAAAAGGAGGCCTGCCTTGGTGCTGCCTGTGCCCTGCTGAGTTACAGAGTCTGAGGTGACAGAGGAGGCACTGAAAGACCAGCCTGGCACACAGCCACCCCTTGAAGAGCAGCCGGGGTCCTGGTGTGGTCAAGAACTCTGGGGCTGAGCTAAAGGGAGCACTGTGTGCAATGGCAGCACAGCGTGGCATGGGGCACCAATCATGCCGGGCTCCTACTGTGTGCTGCACCGCCAGGGTGTGACATGGGAATACTCTTGCTTGGGGACAGGAGTCCCAGGGACTGGGGACACTGAGGTTAACCATTCCCGAAGCCACCAAGTCCTGTCCCAGCCTCACCTGATGGAGACTTCACCCAGGGCTGCATCCCTGCTGTGCCACCATTGAGCGATGGCTCCTGATGCTGGGCATAGGGACAGCCCCAAGAGCAGACACAGACAAGGGCTGGGAGCCGCGGAGCTGCCTCCATGAACATTCAGTCCCCTGCAGCCCTTCTCCTTTGTCCCACACCGCCAGAGCCCCCCTTCCTCACGGATGCTCCGCGGGCCCCGCTGCCGCTCCAGCACCGCAGCCCCAGCGGGGCCCTGGCAAAGCCGGTCCCTGGGTGCTGCCGCCCCGCTGCGCCGCACAGATGGGAAGAAAACCGTGTCCCGGGGCTGCGCGCACCTCCCGGCCCCGCCGCCTCTTTCATCTCCGGGCCCAGCGGCTCTTTCATCTCCCGCCCGAGGTGCGAACCCTTCCCTGCCCCCGGCCTGCGCTGCGGGGCCAAACGGCGGCGAGCAGCGGGGCCCCAGCCCTGCCGGCGGGCCCGCGGTGGGACAGGGCACGCAGCGCTGCGGCTGCCCCAGGGGCTGCGCTTCGGGCAAGTAAGACCCGGCCGGGGTTGGGGTTGCGCCCGCTCCCGTTCGTGCTGGCTTAAACTGAGCTCATCTTTGTTAACTCGGGCTGGAGCCATCCACCCAGCGGGCATTGGTCCTGACCGCCCCCGCCTTCCCGGTTGGGCATGACAAGGTGGTTCCCCAGCCTTAAATTCTGAAGGAACTACCCCAGCATCTCTGCCTGACCACCAGCCCAACACCATCCTGGCAAAGAACCCCATAAACAACCCTGCAGCTCAGGCTCCAGCTATGGATTATCTCGAGCTGCACCAGGGCAGGTTTAGATGGAGCTGAGGAACAATTCCTGCCCCAGAGGGTGCTCAGGCATTGGAACAGGCTGCCCAGGGCAGGGCTGCAGGCACCCTCCCTGCAAGTGTTCACACAGCGTGGAGACGAGGCCTCAGTGCCATGGGTTGGGGGTGGCCTTGGCAGTGCTGGGGTAAGGGATTCTGGTACAAAGGTGACAAGGTTTCACTATCATAACACAAGTCAGGGTGTCTGGGCACGGCGATACCTCTGCTGAAGGGCTGTGAATTCTTATGAGCAGCATTAAACAAGATGTATAAACTGCAAAGGGAGCACATCTGGGTAATGTGAAAAGAAGGGAGAGAATGAGAACAAGGAAGACAGAAAGAAAAAGAAGAACAGAAAGCACAAGGGAAAGGGCACAACAAAGAGAAGGAAAAAGAAATAAGAATAGCAATAAAAAATAAAAATGAAAAAAGGGAAAAGGAAAGGAAAAAAATGAAAAAAGAAAAATGGAAAGAAAAACAAAACAAAAAAAAAAAAAGGAAAAGAGAAGGAAAAAGAACAAAAAGAACTAAGAAAGGGAAAGGAACAAACCCATGGGAAGCACCTGGCTCCGGGACTCCCACGTGAGCTGGGGCCGGGAGCTGCCCCTTGGCACGGCTGGTGTTGGCTGCAGCTCCCAGCTCTGTCCCTGGGGACAGCTCTGCCCTGAGCCATCGCTGGAGCACCCACCCCTGGTGCACCCCAAGGGCAGCGCTGCACCGGCCGCAGCTCAGGCAGGGCTCATGCACGTCACTGGCTCTGCTCTGGAGCAGGGACGGTGCCACCGGGGACAGTGGGGCTGTGCTGCCTGCTTGACCTGGGCCAGATCCCACAGCACACATGAAGATGTTCCTGGCACTTGGCTGCCTGTGCTGGGGCCAGCGGTGCTCCAGCAGTGGGTCTGAGGGCAACGCTGGGACAGGCACGTGGCATCTGGACACACTGGCACCATCACTAACCACGTTACTACCATGTAACCGCACCCAAAAGCTGGTAATCACCACCAAAGGATTTTCACAGCACCAAACGGCTCTTCTGCAGGAGCCAAAGGGACGAGCCGTGGGAATGGTGATGCTCACAGGCAAGGGACCAGGGAGCTGTGGGAGGGCTGCAGGCACAGAGCCGCTGCAGCTCCCAGCACACGAGCTGCCACTGGTGCGCAGCATGAGCCCCAAACTGCCTGTGGGGGGTCGGAGCGATGGGGCAGGATGGCCCTGGCTGGTCTGACGCAACCCCTTCACCAGGGAGGTGTCCATGCCAGAGCAGAACCCCCTGTCCTGTCCCTCCTGGCTGACATCTCCCACATGGGGACACTTGGAAGGTTTTCCCATGGAGATTCCCAGGAATCTCACAGAGGCAGCTGGGTAAAACCCACTTATCTTAACTGTGAGCATCAGTTAAAAGGAAGCGATTAGCACTTGCTGTTAGTTGGATTGTTTTGCATGATTGCAGCAACTGAAAGGTTAACTATCCATCCAAATTGAGTCTAACCCTATGAAAGTCACAAAACTCAGACCAGCAAAACCTGACAGTCCATCTTAACACAGGCTGTCACTCTCAGGCCGAATCCCTCTGCCAAAGCCTAAGCCTAAACCAAAGCCTAAGCCTAAACAAAAGCCTAAATCTAATCCAAAGCCAAAGCCAAAGCCAAAGCCCACCATCCCAGAACCTCGCCTCCCCTCACAGTTACTATTTATCATTCTAACTGATCAGAGTGACTTAGAGCACTTCTTTTTCCCCAGGATGCACAGCCCCGAGGTTGGCAGAGCTGTGTGAGGGACACGGGTCAGCACCCACTGATGGCAAGGAGAGTCTGATCTCCAGATGTCTCAGACAAATGCCTTAAAGACTCCAGCCAGAGAGATGTGGTGTTTTGGGACAAGGGGACTGTTGCCCTTGGTCCTCTCCTGGCACTGGCATAAAGGAATAAACCCAGTCACTGGCAGCACCTCCACAAGAGCCATCTCCAGCAGTCCCTGCCCCATCACGGTCACCTAAAGGTGATGTAAGGCTCAGAGAGGTGTCAGGGGCACCACTGGAGCACAGAGGGCTCAGGGCTGGAGCAGTCCAAGCATCCAGCGCTGCTTGTTTCACTCTGGACATCTGGATCTTACCTATTCAAATAAATGACCGGGAGGATGGTGAAGTGTCAGGGCTGCTGCTGAGAGCACAGGAAACAGCTGGATTCCAACAGGCAGGACTAGGCTGGGACCCCGAGAGCCCGGGATGATGATGATGGTGATTACGACAACCAAAAAAAATCCCATTTCAGGACTATTTATTTTCTATGGATAGCTCCAAGTGCAGCTCAACACATCGCAACCAGTGCCCACCTGGCTTCCCTCAGCAGGTCTGCAAGGGTTGCATGTCTGAAGGCATCCCATCTGCTCAGAGCAGGAGAGCATCCCCCTCCCCATCCCCATTCTTACCTTTATCCCCATTCTCATCATCCTCATCCCCATCTCCATCCTCATCCTTGCCCCACATCCCTGCCCGCTCCCAGGCTCCCCAGGAACACCCCATACTGCCAAGTGCTGACTCAGTGCTTGGGCACAAGCAGGCTGGGGGCAGTGGGACACAGCATGGTGGGTCCTTGCTCTCAGGCCTGCAGGAGCCAGGAAGGCATTTTGGACATGGCCAGGTGGTGACTTGCTCCCTCCACCCACCAGGAAGGACCCGGACCAGCCTGGGCTGAAAACCCGGCTTCTTGGAAACCATTCCCATTTTCTTCATGGCT